GGGGTGGGGTGGTGATAGTGGTTTAAAGATTTGGAGACAGCAAATTTAGATGACTCTTTTATAGACTTATTGTAAAGGCAATCGAGAAATGGTTGAAAAATGATTTCTTAAATTACAGAACACTTATGTGTTGCTGATAATCGTGATTTAATAGGGCAAAATAATGATAGCAAGAGAGAGAAGGAATAACTACATGAGTAATGCCTTTGAACAGAAGACAGGGGACGAAACATAGGGGGAAGATGTAGTGCAGATGACACATTGGACGGAGCCTGGACAGTTTACCTGCTGCCACAGGTAGAAATAGGACAAATGTGTAGGTGCATCATAAATTTGGTGGTGGCACCAAATTCCAGTTTTTGCAGTGATGCAAAATTCTAACCTCATAACAGTCACATGGAGATATGAAATGTGCCCATGATAAATGTGAATTAAAGCTACCATAAGGTACTGCTACCTGTCTATGCATGTGGCCAAAAGGAAAAAGACTGACAATACCAACGTCTGAAAAGGAAGTGGGACAACTGAGTCCATCATGCACTACTGATGGGACTGGGAAATGGTGCGGCCACTGTGGCTAACAGTTTGGCGATTTCTCAGCACATGGTCCAGCAATTTCACTCTAAAATTCTGAGGCATGGGAAATGAAAAGCTGCATGCTCACTGAAACCTAGATAGAATATCTATGTCAGTCCTGTGACTGCTAACTTAAGCTCTGCAAACTTTCTCCAGCAGATGAATGGGAAGTCAACCTGTACCTCCATCTAAAGACACACTGTTCCTCTTTAGTGAGAAGGAACAAAATGTTGATACATGACACAGCGTGAATTGGTCTCAAGGACATTATGCTCAGGGAAAGAATCCAATGTCAAATGTTACACCCTGTACGGTTCCATTTACATCACATTGCCAAGAGGACAAAGTCCCAGCGATGGAGAGGAAACCAGTGTTTGCTGGGGAAACAGTGAGGAAGTGAGTGACAATGAAGGGGAGTTTGAGGGGTTCACTTGAGGACATGAAATTGTTCGGTGTTTGGGTGGAAAAACCCATACAATTGCACATCAGTAAAAAAAAAAAGGCCGTTGTATTATATGCTAATTTTAAAAAAGCTTTCACTGGTGACAGAGACTGTGGGCAAGTGTGTGGAGGGTACCCTAGGTTCTTGGTAGAGACACTCACTTTGCAGGGCAGCCCCTAGAGTGAAGTGTGAATATTGCTCCTGATAGCTCAGCTGGCCCAGCCAGTCCTCCGAAGAGATGTTGCACATGACCTAATGACCTTCAATAAACTCTTTTCCTGGTTCAAATTCTTAAAAACACTAATGCCTAACCTTCTTAATTACTGGAAGGAAGGAGGTAGATTTTTTAATTAAAAAGTTTTTCTTATGCCTTATAGACAATTGTAATATTCAGTGAGATTTTTAAAAAGTGAAGATAAAGCTCAGGAAGTGTTTCAGATTAAATTTATTTTGCTGATGGATGACAATAAGCTGCAGAGGACATTAAGCCAAACCAGGGTGTGTGGGTCATCCAGGCACAGTGTGTGAGGGTGCCCAGTGATCCAGACTCTCCTGCACCCTCCCAAGACTATCACTGGTGGTCTTTAAGACTGTGGGGTGAGGCTGGCGTGATGCGGGGGGTTGGAGTCTTGATAGAAGACAAGAGGTTTCTGCATCTTCTCTGAACTCTTCTGACAGTTATGAAATTGGTAAGGAGCATGCGGGGAGCTCTCTGTCAGATCATCCAGGTTAGGAGGAGAGAGGGAATATCTCTCCCCTGTCCTCTAATGATAATGACAGAGGAAGTCGGGTTATGGAAATATCACGTTTATGAGGTCGTATCTGACAAGATTGAATTTACACGATTATTACGATCACACGTCAAGTACTTAAGACAGTACTTAGAGACTGGAAAGGGAAGTCTGAAAACACTTTTTTTGTGTATGTGCAAATCAGTGTAAAAAAACTGATTATTTCCTGAAAGATTTGACACAGTTGATAAAATCACTTCATTTACCTATCAGCTCTGTTCTCCGCTGTACCTTGGGGGATATAGTCCAAGATTTGGCACTCTCTCGGGGAGTTCTGTACAGCAATCTGGAAGACTAATGCCCAGAACATGTTTCTGGGGGCTCAGCATGGCTGAAAATCCATGAAAGACCATTCCATTGTACTCAGACTCAGAGTTTAATTTCCTATCTAGAGTGCCCCCCTCTCCTATTTCATAACTGATTTTGAAGAGTTCTGTAAGAGGATTATTCTATGGGAATGCGGAAAAAAAGAGGCTGTATCCACCATTTACTAGGATGGGCCCCTTATTCAAGTTTCTTTTAAATACTGTGAAGTAAGGTAAAGTGTATGTCTACTAGGAAATATGCTCTGGTCTTTGCTCTGTGCTGAGTACCTTGATCCTCACCCTGTAATTTCATGCATTTAAACCCTGTGAGGCAGGTTAGGTAATAATGATTTTACAAATGAAGATGCTAAGGCTCGGAGAGAGGGTGTCTAAAGCTATAGAGCTAGATAGTAGCAGAGCTGAAACGTAAACCACCCAACTCCCCCACAACTCCTCTCACCTCAGGTCACAGAACTGGCACACGGTAAACTACAGCGCAATCAATGCCCTCAATTCTTCTCCTGAGTGCTCACTTCCTCTTGGAACAGGTCATTGATGGGAGTTGAATTCAAGTTAGATACCCTCTCAGCAATTTAAATCCAGTGCCTCAGTTGCTTCCCAAGGCTACAAGACCTTAAGGCTTTGGACACAGCGTGGTTCCTGAGTTCACCCACATCCCTGCTCATAGACTGATCTGTCTCCAGGCACCAGGGTCCAAAGCAGCTGTTTCTGTGATTCAACTTTCCCTCTGTCAGAGGGCAGGAATTGGGAAAATCACTGACCTTTGACTTCAAAGGAAATACTGAGGAAATAAGACAAGCGTGGGCAGATGACTGCTCATCAGATGATCGTGCTACCCATGAATGAGCTTCTCACTGTGGGAATGAGGAAGCATTTTCAGGCCGATCTAATGCTTAGGGTGCAGCTTGTCAGCAGCTCTTCTGTGGGCCCCCCTATATGAGTGACAAGAGGAGGGCTTTGGCTGAGACATTTAGGAATCAGATACACAAGTGTGATTCTCAAGGAGTCATCGTACACAGTACAATTCATCCTGGAAGTTTAAGGAGTGGGGGAGTCTTGCAAGTGGGAAAGTTTGGACTAAGAATTAAAGGCTGGTCTCTTTTCCCTTTACTCAGTACCCTTTCTGATAACAATACTAGGGGTCATTTTTAGAAACGTTAACTTTCCATCTGGAAAGCAAAGCAAAGTTTTCTAATTAAAAGTAGAGATAGTCATCCTTTTGCTATGAAGTTCTGGAAGCTGAACTGAATTTTGAAAACATCATTTATTATACTGATACACAGAAATAAAAAACACTTCCAGAGATGTGATTCCCTTTATTTTCTCTAAGCTTTATGCATCTTTCATTTTAAAGCTCTAAGTGTTAAGCGATTCATTTGTGTACAGTTAATCATGACTACGTTAGAGACCCTGTTAGAAAATAACACTGGCTTGTACCAGGTGGTTACCTGAATCTGAACCTCTCTTGGCTGTAAACCAAAACACTAGCTGCCACCCCTATATTTCCTTCTGAGCATCCTAGGAACCCATCAGGTTCAACATGTCCCAAGGACCCCCTGCTAGAGAGACCCATCTCTCCAAATAGCATCTCTTACACACTTCCTAGGAGCTAACCCTCCGCCCAGGAATATATGCCGGATTCCACATCAAATTCTATAGGTTTTATTTCCTGAAATTTCTCTTGAATCTAGCCCTATTTCACCACTCCTACTAAACTACCCTATACCAAACACCATCATTTCTCGCTTAGATTCTTGTAGTTGCCTCCTCAGAGTTCTGCACATATCTACTCTTTCATTCCTTACATTATTTCCAAATTGTACCCAAGATAATGCCCTTAGTAAGGCAAAGATGAATAAACACCTGCCTGACAAGTGCAAGGTCATGAATTCGACTTCCAGTAACCACCCCCACCCAAGACAAAGATGAACATGTTTGTATTCTAACCATACCCGAACAACTCCCATCATGATCATGGCAGCCACAGGACTGTTGCATGCGCTGTTCTCCTAATCTAGTTTAATGCCTCATCTTTCATTTTTCAGCCTTATCTAACTTATAAGGTTAGTTAAATCTCTCCTGTTCTATCTTCTCATAGCTCCAGGGGCCTCTCATTTATAAGATTTATATTAATTATCATTTTAAAATGTGAGTGATTCTTCCTCACTAGCCAGTAAAGTCCACATGAGCAAGGATACCCATATTTGATCATGTAAAATAGGAACATTGTCCCTGGGATGAACAGGGATACTCCAGAGACTGAAGAAGAAAGGTAGCAGTCAGATCACACAGAGCCTTGTAGACCATCCCACTTGTCTTTATCCCCAGAGTAAAAGGGAGCTGTTCGGCAACTCTTCCAGGCTCAAAAATGAAATAAGTGGATTTACCTAAAAGGGTAGAAATTTTATTGTAATATCATTACTATTTTAATAAATTTTGCACTGTTTGTAGGATGTCTACATGTGATGAGATCACAAATTCAGATGCCCTAAAAGTAGACAAGTACTGGGAAGACAGGATAATCCTCAAAGGGGAGCTTAGCAGTTTTCAACAGAAATGGAACACATAAATATTAAAATATGCAAAGAAAATACTTGTTTGACCAGAAAAATGGAGAGGCTTTGTTAAATGTTGCTTATAAGGTGTGGTGGTTAGGTTGGTAGTGAATCCCCAAAATTCATGTCTACCTGGCGCCTCAGGCTATGAGTTTATTTGGAAATCGAGTCTTTGCAGGTTTAAGTAGTGAAGGATTCAGGTGAGATTGTATTGGATTTGTGTGAACCCTACATCCAATCCCCAGCTTTCTGTAAGGAAACCGTGGTACCCAGAGTGAAGAAGAGAGAGACAGAGAGAAGAGGAGAGGACACAGAAAGGGAAAGACAGAGGAGGGTAAACAAAACAGTGCAGACAGCAGAGGTTACAGAGATGTCTCCACAAGCCAAGCAATGCCAAGAATTTAGGCAGCCAGGAGAAGCTGGGAAGGAGGCCTGGAACAGATGATCCTATGCAGCCCTCAGAATGAAGCCGTCCTGCTGGCACTTTGCTTCGTACCTCTGGCCCCGGCGCTGTGAAAGAATCCACTTCTATTGTCTTCAGTCATGTGTTCATGACCACAGCAGATTTAAACATAGCAGATTTAAAAAGATCAGCTGGGTAACATTTGGGCACGAGGTGGCATTAGAGGCCTTTGCTGGTGGTATTATTCCAGAAGACACTTTTGAGAATAAAAAGGAAGCACAAAAGTGGCAATCATGGATGTATCCCAGCTCCAACCCAACTGTCCCTGACGTGGCAATCCATGTTGTGCAAGAAGATTCCAGGGAAGACGGATGCCCTGGGGCACCTGCCAGCCTGCAGGTCTATCTGGAGTACGCAGAGGGGAGGGACTCTCAGTCCTTGGCCATCTCCCCAGGAACACGTGAGCCTGGTTGGGCACAGGACCAAGGGAGCTTGGATCTGCTCAGGCCAATAATGTGACACAGGTATGGCACTTGGAGAACAGGTGGATGCACAACCCCTCCGTGGGAGGAAACTGGGGACAGCAAGGGAAAAGGATGTGAGCGCAGAGGCCAGAACCAGCACATTCCAGAGAGCCCCCAGCTATCCAGACCAGCATCAAGGTCAGGTGAGACTCACAGAAGCAACTGGGAGGCCAGGCCAGCCAGCAGGGAAGTTGGCAAGAGAGTCCAAGCGGTGAGTGATAAGAAAGCGTCATGTGGAAGTACCTTGTTGTTCTAAGAATTGTGCCTATTCTTGGCCAGCACCAGGTAGCTGAAACAGTGTGCACCAGGGGCACAGTGCCCTGAGAGAGGAGAAAGGTGAGGAGGCATCTGGTCTAAGAGGGGACATCAAGTGCTTTATTCCAAAACACAGGTTCTGAGCAGCTCATCGCCAATGGCTTCTGTCTCTTGCATTTGCTCCATCACCTATGCTCCTGCGTCTGCATTTTTTAAAATTTACTGCTATACATTGGTTATAAAGCTGTTAGATGTTGTCACTTTGTATGTTACTTTAGGATAACAGACTTTCTTCTTCCATTCTAATACCTACAAGCTCAATCAATGTTTGGTAGGTTATTAATTAATTTCAGTGGAATTAGTCATTATAAAGACATCAAATAAATTGTTAGAAATGGCCATTTTTCACATCTCTGGATGGCAGGATGCCAAAGCAATTATTCCCAAGATGGTTTTTTCCTAGTCCGAAAGGGAGAATGACAGCATTATCTCATACCTTCATAAGTAATGAACTGTATGATCCTCACATCATGGTTCCTTCAACATAAACACAATTCTACACTTAAAAAGTAAATAAAACCATAACATTATACTGCAATAAAAATTAATTTTAACAGCACCCACAATTATCCTTTGGGTATAGATATTATTTTCATGTAGGCTTTTGCTCAGATATGGGTAGCTACAAACAATTTAGCAAATGATAAGGTGATTCTGATTAGTTAAAACCTTATCAGATTCATTAATAAATAGGCGTCCTAATTTGTCTCTTTGTTTTTCCCAATAGAAGCACTCTTTAAGTATCAGATATGTGCCAGGCATTCTTCTGGACAGAATATGGAGCAGAGGAAAAAAGAAAAAAGAAATGAAGTCCAAGTAAGTCTCTTTCCCCCGGGAAGAGATAATGAAGATGTCTTCTAACACCATTTGAGTTACAAGTAAGAGTTACAGGCTAGAGAACTGGACTGGGTGTTATTTTAGAGAAGGGGTCTGAAGAAGGTGCCAGGAGGAAGTAAAAACTGAGAGAGCAGAGATTTGGATGAAGTAAAGAGAATGAACTGGGGACGAGAGGTCCTAGAAAGTCCTTGCCGTGCACATTAAAACAACAAGTACCGCATTCCATTTACCAGGTCCCCCCTGGAAAGATCAGGAGCCTGGGGTCCTCTGTAGCCATCAGCCCCTTATGCCTTAGGGCACAGGAAACAGCCCCCTGCAGCTCTGCATGGCTCCCAAGACTGCTTTGTTATATAATGGAGCCAAACTTGGCGCTTGGACATATTCCACCCGCCTCCTCTTTCTTCAGTCCATTGCCAGCCACCCTGGGGCTGGAGAAGGTCACCCTGCCCCAAACCTCTTGGCTACCAGGGGAGCCCCTCGGGGTTAACAGGGTGAACAGCGGTGGGAGTTTATACACTGTACAAACGGTACTGCCAACCATCAGAAATGTCAGCGCTCAGGGGAATATTGCTGTTTTCTGTCTTTTAGCCAAGCTGTTGCTGGTAGGGAAATGGATCCAAGGAGTAACACAATCAGCCAAACCTCAGGAAGTCTTCCTGACAGGAGAGGACTTGAAACTCCCTGTCTCACCTCTGCCTCAATTTCTCTCTGTTCGAGACCCACTAGCTGACTGGCGTAGTGTGTTCACTTAAAAAATTTCTTGTCACCTTTTCCTGTATTTAAAGGGAGGTATGTTCTATTCTTGCACATACAAAGACTCGTTATATATGAAGTCTTTCAATAAAGCACTCTTTATAATTTTTTAAAAAGCTTGTTTTATCTCATGAAGACTGAAGATAAAAGATACACAGACTCCTGGAACTCGTTGTCTACAGGTAGTCCCATGGATCAAACTGCTGCTCATCTGATTTGGGACTTATTTAAGCATAAACTTGCCCTAAATAAAACCAAAACAAAAACTGTCAAGTGCGGCCTGACTCTGTTCTAGGGACTGTTGGTGTTTGCCTATTGGTGTTTTCATTGATTTATGATCTGGAGGCTCAAACTCTCTAAGCCACTGTTTACATCCAACATTGCAACTGCTGAGCCCCAAAAGCTATTGAGTTTGGCTAGTGCAAGTGCTACAACCCCCAAATCATCACCACCTGCTATGGTTTGAATATGGCTTCCAAACTTAGGTATTGAAATCAAATAGCCAAAGCAATAGTACAGACAGGTGATGCCTTTGAGAGGTGATGAGTTCCCTGTAGGTGGGGTTAGAGCCTTCTACTTTTTACCACGTGACACACACATAAGAGAACTCAGCATTTCTCCCTATAGGAGAAGGCAGCCACAAAATAGTATCCTGGGAGCAGTGAAAAAGCTTCACTGGAAAACAGAGCATGCCAGCACCTTGAACATAGACTTCCTCACTTCCAAAACTGAGAAAACACATTTCTATTATTCATAAGTTGCTCAGTCTATGTTTTTTTTTTTTTTTAGCATAAATGGAGTGAGACAACAACCAAACCAAAGGAGACAAAGGACCAATCGTAGTTGAGCAAATTAGAGGACCTGTCTTTAGGCTTACTCTGGAACTCCAGTGTCAGCCAGGCATTTTAATGGTCTCACAGCCTGACACTCTATTAACAGCACACTGCTCCTCCCAGCAGTAGCCAATTCCTAGAGATGGTAAACAACCAGCCCTAAGCACACCTTTCAAAGGCACAGGAATCCAGAACCCACATCCCCACCACCTCCTCCAATACTCCCAGTGCTAGAAGCACCCAGTCCTAATCAGACACAGCCAAGCACTAGGTGATCGGGGGCAGCCCTGTGCCCCTGCACCTACTAAAGTTGCTCACATCAGCTCATCTAAGCCCATTTATTCAGGTAAGCCTGATCTTTCTAGTGAGAAACTTAACAAAGGCTCCTGCTCACATTTCCTCTGCTCCTGACTGACCTTGGTGTCCATGCCATCACCCTCTTCTTGGGATCCACGCGTAAAAGAAACTTTTGAGGTAGTTTTCTCATGTTGGCCTCACAGACCTAAATAATAATAAAGCCTGCTCTTGGGCCTTGTGTCTCTAGCCATTCCACAGGAGAACCACAACAAACCCTCTAGACCTGTTGGAGTGGGGTCCAATCCATCTCTCCCAGGTGATAATGAGAGGAGCTCTCTGATCTTTCTCCTGGTGGGGACCATGGCTGGCCATGCTGTCTCTTTCCTGACCCCATGGTGGCCTCCTGTCCATGTCAGTAGTGTCACAGCCTGGAGTACTTAACTGCGTCTGAAGATGGTAGTGGAGGTAGGGGAGAGGGAGGCAAGTGCTGTTTACTCCAGGAATCAAGTGCTGTTTATTCCAGGCCCGTGTTCCTTGCTATCAGTAAACTGGAGAAAAGGACCCCAAGAAATAGGATTTGATCTTTAATGTGAAGAAGACATCTTTTCCACATGCTATCAGTTCACCAATTTAAGAATTAGTACATTAGCAATTCAAAGAATTACCCAGCCACTCTTTGTATGTTAGAAGGTAGAGGTTGGCTTTGTTTTTCTGCCATGAATACCTCCTCCTGCATTCTCCTGAGGTATCTGATCACAGAATGGAGACCCATCACTCACACTAGGAAATCATTCTTACATGGGGTGGCCAAGGCGCTTCTCAGAGCCATGATATTATTTCCGTCCACTGATAAGAGGTAAACATTTTGTATGTACTAACCGCTATGTTTACTCACTGCTTCCTGCAGGCTAATGGGATGAAGCAATTCAGTTTTTGGCAAAGACAAGTGTGGATTGGGAAAGAGGTGACCATCACATACCACAGTACCACTGAGTGCCAATGACAGGCCACTTAGACCAAGAAGGAGTAGACGTCCTGCATCGTGGTGCCATTAGACCCCTTGAGGTTGAGTTAACTTTGAAAACAACTCAGATTATCTTTTTACCCCAGTTTATCTTCCATTATCTTATCATATCACTTGACGACTCACAAAACTGCATTAACTTTAAGCCATGAAAACTGTAGGTGTACTACACAGTTCAGCACTAAGTTACATCTGGTCCCAGTACAGACTTCTGTTTTTCTTTCAAATTATGAATAAACACTAGGTCCTCCATAAATTCTTAGATGTATATTAGATGATCTCTTCTCTGCTCATGAGTAGAATTGTTTACAATGTCTGAAGCATCTTTAGGTTAAAATCATATAGCGTAATGTCAGGGTAAAGGGTTTCTCAGTTCAGGTAGGAAATTGGGTTCAGGATATTGATGGAAAGAAACAACACACTAGCTTGGCCAGCTATTGTTGCTTTTACACGTGCACAGCTTTGTGGAAATGTTAGATGTTAGAACTGATCTCTCAAGGCCTCTGTTCAGAATGGCCTTTGGGGAAAAAGGCCAAGGAGCTAAGCTTTCCCATTTCTCAACCTATAAGTGATGCAAACTCTCTGTTAGGCAATCAAATTAGAAAACCATTCACAGGCAAGCCAAAAGCAAACCCACTGACTTCGCAGTGAATATGTCACAAGTTGCCTGATACTTTCCGCTCAGCAGTCTCATTAACACCTTTGCCACTTGGTATCTGGTTCATGCTATGCAAAGTATGACATATCAACTGGAGGCCCTGAGCTTCTCCAACAGGTGTTATGAACTGAAGAATGTCAATTCCCCCCATTTCAGACCCTCCAAGCCAGAATCTGCTTTTTTTTTTTTTTTTTGAGGCAGAGTCTTACTATGTAGTTCAGGCCAGCCTTGAACTCACTATGTAGCCTCAGCAGGCCTAGAAATCACAGCAATCCCCTGTCTCAACCTCCCAAGTCCAGGGATTGTTGGCATGTATCACCATGCCTGGCTGAATCAGCATTTTAAGCTCCCAAGGTGACATGAATACCTTTGGCTTGAGAACGACTAACCTAAGAGAACTCAAATGAAGACTCCCGTTCTCATCCTGCGCTATTTTTGTTTTCTGGTGATCTTTTTTTTAACTTCTACTGAACTTTAGAAAATGTGGAAAATCTCAAGTATAACTCTGGAAAAAGCCATGAAGCTTCCAGACATTTGAACTGTTGACCTATTTTATTTATTTACTTATTCATTTGTTTGGTTTTTGAGACATGGTCTTGCTATGTAGTTCAGACTGACCTTGAGCTCACTATGTAACCCAGGGAAGCCACAAATTCACAGCGACCCTCGTGTCTCAGCCTCCTGAGTGCTGAGGTTCCAGGCATGTGCTACCATACCTAGCTAATTTTAGCAAAATCATTAGCTTTCTTGTGTTTGCTGATTAAAAGAGAAAAATGGTTGGATCTGTGTTTCAAACAATAATAGTGATGCAAGGAGCAAATGTGCAGTCACGATGTCCCAGGATCCTGACAGCCAAGTGACTAAGAAGGCCTTTCCCACAGTAAATCTCACGGAGGACATTACCTCTTCCCCTTTGAGTCAGCAAAGCACTTAGTGGAAATCAGAGTATTAAGTGGCTCCCAGTCGCAAGAGCCCCACAGTCTAACTGAAATTCAAATCAATAGTTACTACCCGTGTTCGGATGGACTGCCTCAAGAGTATGAAGACTATATGTACTCTGTGATGGCAGACTCAAGGAAGGTCTCACAGAGGGGCTGCCTCTGGACTGAGTAGATGGTGGCTCTGAGGGCAAGCTGGTGGCAGGAGCAGGGTGCAGGCCCTTTAAAGCAGTACAGTAGTGAAACCAGAGCTGATGCCCATTGCGGCTGCATTCTTCCTGCTGAGCAAATGAAGGAGCAAAAGGAAACACACTTGGGATAGATAAATGCCTTTCCTCACCACTTGGGTAAGGGAAGCATAATTCTAGACTTGGCATTTGATTACGAATGAGGACTTGTGAGCCGGATGTATGCGGTTCACATTCTGTCTGATTTGATAGCGGATGGTAGTTTATAGAAGATGTCCACACTGGGAGCAGTTGGGGGAATGGACACGGGAGCTGTCGGCATCATTGTGAAATTTCTTATAAACCTTAACCTACATCAAAAGGAAAAATGTACATTAAAGAATCCCACCTGGTAATGATTTAGAATCCAAGACAATCCACTTTACTTTCTGAGGCTAGGTATCCTATTCTGTAAAATAGTGCTTGAGTTTGCATGTATCTCCCAAGGTCCCTGTGTTAGAAACTTCGGTCTCCATGCAACTGAAAGGTGATTAGTGTGTGAAGATTCTGCCCTCATGAGTAGACTGATGCTCTTATTGCAGAAACACTTCATCAAAGAAGCGGGTTTCTCATTAAGGGATAGATTTCCTCTCTTCTGATGTTCTCTTTTCGAGCTATGCCTTCTACCATATTACATGGAAAAATATGCTTACCATACTCGACTCAACATTGGACTTGCCAGTGTGCAGAACCAAGAGCCAAACAAACTTCTATTCTTTATAAATTATCCCTTTTCCAGGTGTGGTAGTGCTTGTCTATAATTCCAACACTCAGGAGGCTGAGACAGGAGGATAACTGGAAATTCAAGGCCAGCCTAGGCTACGTAGTGAGTTCAATGCCAGTCTGAGCTACAGAGTAAGAGCTTGTCTCAAAAAAATTACTCTGTTGGAAGTATTCAGTTACAGTAGCACAAAGCAGACTAAGACAAATGGTTAGAGTATTATATATCATAGTGATTATAATTAATGATATATACTGCAATTATTAAATACAATGTGTATTAGGTGATAGTTTTCCGGGTATTTTTTGGTCAGTGTGTACCAATTATCTTTTCTTCAATGAACTACCAATTTGTATTTCATTTTGGTTGAATGATGATCACTATTTATTGCTGTTTCCTAGACAAGGAGTTGGGGTTGGCAGAAGATCTCATTCAAATTAGGCAAATCTAGCTGTCAGTTATCCATTGACATGGAACAGAACATGGCCCCATATGGTGGCTTCAACAGCGATCTGTGTCTTCTCACCATTCTGGAATGGACGTGTGATGTGTTAATCTTATCC